GTGATATTAACAGAAAGAGAGTATGACAGGGTATCGTGACTAGACGGGGTATCAAAGAGAAAAAAAGACGAAAGGAGCCCGTCCGGAGAATCAAGCGGTCGACCTGTCCAGAAGGTGAGGCTATCCTTGGACTCTCCCGGCGCTGTGGGACGCGGTCAGGGGAGTTCCGCCCTAGTCCTGAATTAGTTAGCGCCAAACGGCGGCAGCATGTGACGTTCCCTGGCTTTGTCTCCGCCTTAACCACTGGCCTGTTCCTGACCCAGACTACGACTATGCAGAAATGAAACGTGGACAGTCTGTTTTAAATTCCAATGAAGGCTGAAACTACTGAAATTGCTATGTGCAGCTCAGTTCACCAACGCCCAAGCAAGGCTAAATCGCAGTCCCAACATCCGGCATATTATCCTGGGCATCCTTGGCCTCGCGGCAGTCGCACTGGTACTTCTCGCGAAACTCTGTGGGAGATATCTCTTCAAGCAAAGCCAGAGCTTTCTCACTTGCTTTAATTTTAGCGTAGCGACCAGAAGATGCCATTCCTTCGCCAATGACGGCATCATGTACGATTACAGCGGCAAGGACACTAGCTGGGGTTCCATCGACTCCCGGGAATTCACCCGCTTTGAGGCAGTAGTTGGCACATCCATATTCGTTTGTGAGTCTGTTGTGCAGATACGTCTGGTAATGGGTTAGTCGGGGTCAAGAGTTCGAGATGCTGTTGCCGCATTATTTATCGGGAAGGCTCTTACAGTGGGATGCTTGTTTGCGAAAGTATCGTAGATGGACATGTCATGGAAGAATGGCTTGATATATTTGTTGAAGAATGATGCGATCATTTCGAAGTTGAACTCCGAATCGACAAACACCGCTCCAAGGTATGATTCGACCATGTCAGACAAGCACTATATAACCGTCAGTCAAACAGCACAGGCAATTGAAAGGGTCCTTATCAGGGTTACCTTCGGCGGATCTTTAGTGCCAACCCAGTAATCCACGGCACCTTCGCTCTCAGCCTCTACGGTCTGAATCTCCTCGGCATAATGGGTGATCTGGGACTGCAACGGGTTGCTGAAATGTCGTAGGTGCGTGTGGAGTTGGAGTCGCACTGAAAGAGCACCAAGGAACTTGTTGGATACCATTGCCATCTAAGAGTGTTAGTCGTGTCCCATGACTGTTACTTGAAGTTTTACCTTGTGCTCTGTGAGCCACTGGGGATCTTTATCTGGAAACCTCGCATACAGATCCTCGACACAAACCATATCCAGCAACGAGTCACCCAAGAACTCCAGTCGCTGGTAACATGGCACCTTAGCCCACGCAGAAGGGTACGAAGGGTGAGTAAATGCAGATCGCAAGAGTCGGGGATAACGAAATTGATAACCCAATTTCTCTCCGACTTTCTTGGCGAGGTCAATTTCAAACCCGTCTGCTCTCATAGTCTGATATCGAGGAAGAGAGTAGTGGCTGAAGTAATCTTTCCATTTTGTTGCTGTGTGGTTATCACTGTCAACTAGCGCGCTGACTGCTTTCACAGCCATGTCGAACCGGTGGTCTGGGGCGCCCGAGAGTAGAGATGCACCTATTAACGCTTCGCACACATCGGCTATTGTCTTCTCTCCCAGTGCGTGTTTACTTTCCGAACTAACCTTCTTGCTGTGATCTTTACCCTTTTGCAGCGTAAGGCCTACCGGGTACCATGTATGTCTGGAGAATCCACGGCTCCGAATGTACATGTGAAGCTTCTTTTTGATGGCGACATTGAACAGGTTCTTGTTGCAGATGAGACACATCCGGTTGACGTGATAATCATACTCATCGTCGTCTGGGTTCTGCGTAAACAAGGCAATGGAAGTCGCCATCTTGAGGAAACAATCGCCCAAGAATTCGAGACGCTCATAGTTCTTGCCCATGCCACGCTGGAAGTGGATTTGCTGGCCCTTGTGTTCTTCGGTGTTGTCGGAATTTTTCGTGAATGCTTCGAGGGCAAACTCGGGATGGACAGCCAAGTCCAGGGTTTTACACGCGTCGAGGGTAATCAGATGGGAATCTATTCTGCTAACGATTGCGGGGAATGTGAGGAATGAAGTAACAAGTGAGGTTGGGATCTTTGCTAGTGTCAGCAGAAGCACGAATTATAACAATGGGAGGGAAGACAAACCGCAGATATTCTCAGAGCTTCTAGGCAGACGACGCTTCGGGTCTCTACTTCTCGTTCCTGCTCCACCATTCTGTCCAACAGATTTCTCCGAAGACGAACCAATTCAGCGTGAAAAACTGGTTGATTCCAATTGGCTTTCGCGAAGAACCTGGCACGGGAGTTCTTCGAAAGGCTAACGCAGTAACTCATGATATTGTCCATGTGCCTCCGACGATGCACCCAGTCCGGTGGAGAGTCTGAGGGGCGCAGCGTATCGTCCACTTCACCCGTGAAGAGTCGGAATCTACCATCCCAGGGATCGTAGACGAGTCGGTTGACCAATGACTTCGGGTCTAGGTCAGTAGTGAATTGTATCTCCTCGTTTTTGCGGACGAAGGATAGCGTTTCCCAATCAACCAAACCTCGAGGTGGGCTAGAGTTGTCAAGTTCAGTCGACTGGACTGCAGGGGCAAACCAGTATGGAATCTTTTCGGGCTCCTTGGTATAGACTTTGTGAAACACATCGCGAAAGACGCGGAGCGTGAAGTCAGTCAAGCAGTCCAGCTCATCATTGGAGACTTCCAATTTGTTCAGCACATCTGTTGAGCAGATGTTGGTTTCCACATCCTCGTCAAGGAATATGGAGAATGACGGACACTCTGGGAGTCTTTCTCGAGTAAGCAGGATTATATCACCGTGTTCTCTTGAGAGCGGCTCTGAAGGTTTGAACGAGATGAGAATCGCATAGAGCCTGGTTGGCAAGGTTTTCTCCGGGATATCCCAAAAAGACGGCTTTGATATCATGTCATATTGATTTGTATGCTTCGACGTGATGGCTAGTTTTGCATTCCGCATAGCAGGTAGCCGTCTATGATAGACCGAATTGAAATGATCATCGAGCAGCTTATGCTTTCGTAGCAGAAGACAGGCGTCAAAGGCTGCGCACTGCTTTGCGCTTGACTTTTTCATCGCCGGATTTCCAGTTATGCCTCGAATGGGCGACTTCTCTGGTAGAATGACTTCACAGACATAGGTATTGTTGATGGGAAGAGTAACGTATGTAACCTGGGTCAGCGACTCTTTCTCGTATTGCTGTATGCACTTAATTAGCGCATGTTAACAATCAGCCATAAAATAACTCCTACCAAAGAGCTGGCATAGCGTGCAAGAATAGCCATTGCCGAATGGTACGTTAGCGTTGCTCCTGTGGACGCAATCTTGTATGTTCGTTTGCCTTCCTCATGTTGAAGAATCGCTTCTAAGTCATGCTCGCCGCCGTTCAACAGACGATCTTCTGGCAAGGCTTCACAAAAGCTCTGCATTATTTGCTAATGGCAAATGAGCACTATGCATATACTACTAGGTTTGACGTCAACGTACCTCAGCATTCCGAACTTCCACAAGCCGCTCTCGATGTTCAAAGTTATCCTTTTCGACCATGGTGGCATACTAAACAGTGTGTCATTACAGGTCTCTCATGGCTTTCTTTCTTGGGGTATGTACGGTTGAGTCAGAATGTCGCGCACGGCCTCGGCTCTGTACATACTGAATGAGGGTATGATATAAATCAAACCTGACAACCAAGTTACAGTCTGGAATATCCAGTCCCTCTTCAGCTACCGAAGTGGCAAACTAAAGACAATTAGCGCACAGCACAAATCATGCGTTGGGTCTGATCTTACCAAGCAATTTATTTCTCCTTTTCGGAACTTGACCAGGGCAATAAACTGTTGACGGAAGGTTATGTTCATTCCGGTGAGATCACCAGATCGAACGCCAACCAGCACACCGGGACGCATGTATGGAATGTTCAACTCGGTGAATAGCTCAAACAATATCCTGGCCGTGTACCGCATGTCGGTAAAGACAATGCATTTGGTTTCTGTGGGATATTCAAACTGCTTGCGAAGTTCTCTATGCAAGAGCTGCACTTTAGAGCTGAGTGAGCCGAGGGCATCGGGGCTGTCAAAGGTATGGTTCCTGACAATGCCGCTGGCCTCCTTTATCCGTTCAATTTCTTTGTATGCACTTTCGGGGACTCTGCTAGAGCTCTCGTCATTGATGACCTTGCTCACTTGACCTTCAAGCTTTGGCAGCACATCTTCTGCTAAAGCATGAGCCCATACCCGATCGGAACACCATTTGCCCAACTCGGAACTGGCGTTCCATGCAAACCTGAAGACGGACTCCAACGAGGCAATGTCACCAAACCGGTCTTTCATGGTTTTGTACAAACCGGTTCCGAATGGTGCTTCTAGTCGATCGTATGCCCATTCCCTCTCTGTTGGACGTTTGATGAATTGTCGTAGGAGGGTCAGGTTCGAGGTTGTTGCAATCTGGCTGTCTAGCAGCGTCTCTAGCTTTCTATCATTGATTAGTATAAAATATCAGGCATTTCGGTCATATTGGGATGTACGCAGCCGCATCTACAATATCACCTCGAGCATCAATCGGCGATGCGGTCATTCCAAATACTCTCGGGCGCTTGGGCGGGGATTCTTTGAGATAGGAATCACGAATAATCCTAGGGTATTAAGTCAGTCATAGTTTCTCTCTTGGGGACCCTCAACACTAACCGCGCATAAGCGTGATTCTTCTTGGTGTGATGTGCCTCGTCGAAGATCAACAAATTAATCTGATCCATCCTCACATACGAATTCAAGAGACATTGGTTCAGAATATCTGCCGTGCATACAATAACCATATTTGCGCTGAAGTGCTCGTCCCAGGTCTGCTTGCTCCATAGGTCTGCTCCCATGGCACCGAAGAACTGTCCAATATTCTGGTCGATGTTGTTGCGCAGTACAGCACCCTGCTGGTATACAAGTGTGACACTGTCGACCTGAATAATTTTAGCTATCCACATTACCCATATCATAGTTGATTCTTCATACCAGAAAGAATGATATTCTAGGGAGCTTGCCCTCAGCACGATCGTTCAGCTCCTTCTCGATGACGTGCTTCAGCAACAGCACAGCAATCAATGTCTTTCCAGATCCTAGAAATAATTTTTGTTAGACAGCAAAGTCATCAAAGCCAACACAGGAGTTGTCGCCCAGCACTTACCCGTATCGAGAACCGCAATAGTGTTTTGCACCTTAGCCCTTTCAAAAAGCTCCAGTTGGTATTCCCGAGGGTCTAACGTCCCGTGTCCTAGATCCCGCCTCGCCACCAGATGTGCTGTAGAAAGCTCAGCATCGGGAATATCTTCGCATGCGGTTTTCTTCGTCACGGGGCCCGTATCAGCGCGCTTGGAAAGCCTGTTCATCAGTTAGGTCTAATTGTCACGCAGAGCTCTTGAATGCGCACTTACAGGGCCTCGAACGAAGCATTTTGCGCTCTTCGACGTTTTGTGACATCGTTCAGATCCTCTGCTGGCTCTTGTTCTATATCGTCGTCCGATACACAGGAAGATATATATTCTTGCTCGACAGCGGGATCTTCTGTGGTGGGACTGTCGACTGGATTTCCAGGCAGGATGACAACGGGTTTCTGCTCATTTATTAAGCTCTGCCCTCCAGTATTCTCTAGGAATGTCATCCTGAATCGAAGTAATGACTAGTAGATAGTCTTTCAGGGTAAGATCAACGGGACCATTGAGCCGTACGTTAAGTAGTTGGTAGTTTTTCATCCTGAAGGAAAGGAAAGAAGAGGAGCTAGAGAGAGTCAATAAGCAATAATTACAGTGAATGCGACTTCCATTCTGAACTGTCTACCACTGCAGGGCTCCTGGTAACAAACAAAGCAACAAACGAATCGTTATCAATGCCGACTATCGCGGGGCTCCATAATAAATCCAGATCTAGCGGGGAGCTTCCACTCCGACCATTCATTTCATCAAGGAAACAAAAAATTTCTGTTCATCTCAATCAATTAACATATTCACAATGAATTCTGATCAACCTCAGAATTTACGATCTCTGTTTGCCACGGCAAAGGCAGACAAGACCGCACTAGAAGCGCGTCCCGACACCACCTCCGAGCTCTATCGCAGAGATGTGACCGCCATCATCGCCAAGTTCGAGGAATGCCAGCGACTCGTCAGATTGCTCTCCTTGTTTAGTGCAAATGAGCCAATTGAAGAGGTGTCTACGGGTGATTTGCAGTGAGCTATTTCGTTTGCACTTTCTGGCTGGATTGCCATGTTTACTGATTTCATTTTTCTTTTTCAAGGTATCTGACCCTCGAATATCTTCTCGCGGACCTACTCCAACGAGCGTACAGCTCGGATCGCGAAGCTCTCCTTCGGCGCTCTTTACAGAGTTATGAAGGATACCTTACGCACATGGATGATTATGGACTGCTCAACGATGGCAACCGAAAGCTATATGAGCGATATACCTCGAAACCTACGTCCTTCTCGTTGACACCGGTGAACGATCCTGCCACCCGCAGAGAAGCGAAAGTATCAAGATTTAGGGAAGAGAAAGAACTGAAACAGAAGCTTGAGGTTCGTTCTATGTAGGGGCTCCAGATTCAAGGGTCAAACTGACACCCGTCAAGTACCTCTCGCAGAACCACAGCCAGCTCGATGACGAAGATATCCGACGACTATATTTGGCGGAACTAGATCTCTACACCCATCAGACCTTCCAAGCCCTTGATCTGCTTGCACAAGAATTTTCAATGCTTTCGGCTATGCGCAACGCAGGACCTCCCCCAGACTCACGCCAACAAGAAGATAGTAGAAGACGGAACAATGCAGACCAGTCAGGCTACTCCGAACGTCTTGATCCTTCTCTGTCCCAATTACTACGGGGTAGTAGAGGCGGACCAATATTGAACAGGGATGGAAGGCCGATGCAGCCATTTACTTTACTCGATCGTCGGACACAGCTCCAACAAGGCGTGTTCAAGCCCAGCCATAACCTCCCCACTATGACAATAGACGAGTATCTTGACGAAGAGAAAAGGCAAGGCAATGTTGTTCAGGGAGGTGAACAGTCGGGCATCCAACCAGAGATCGACGAGGACGATCTGGACATAGCTGACGAAGAGACGATGAAAGCACGCGCTTGGGATGAATACAAGGAAGCGAACCCAAGAGGCTCTGGGAACACCCTCAACCGGGGTTGATTCCGCTACATATTTTGATTTTCTCGATATATATTGGAAGGAACTGAGATGGAAGGGACTGAGAACCGTGTCGGATTGTTATCACGACTAATGATACCATATTCCAAGGCAAACAATGCAAATTTCTTGCACATCAATCATTCTATGTATTTTCAAATGACTCTTATGTTCATTTACAAAGGAGAAGACCAGCATCTCCATGGTATCAGTTCACTTTTATCATGAGAGCCATCCATCATTCCTTACGTCGTCACCTTGTTCTGCTGGATTTCCTCCAGTATGGCGCCTGCACCTTTCTCAACAAGTGCCTTGGCGACAGTAACGCCAAACTCTTCAGCAGATTCGGCAGAGTCAACGGCCCCGTCAACCTCGACTTCAGCGCTCCGGCTACCGTCTACACTGACAACAATGGATCGCATCTTTAACTTAGAAGATCCATCAGCGGCTTGAACCCATTCTGTCTCAGCTCCCAGCGGGGCGCTGCAGCCTCCCTCCAGAGTCCTGAGCAGACTTCGCTCCGCCAATGCTGCCAGCGTAGTCTCCTTATCACCGACATTGCTCAGCATATCATGGATCTGTTTATCATCCTTGCGAATCTCAATCCCAAGAGCACCCTGCCCAACCGCGTGTAGCATAGATCCATTCTTCGAGTCCAGATACTGAGAGATACGGCCCTCCAGACCCAACCGGTGCAGACCGGCCGCAGCCAAGATTATGCAACTGAACGGACCATCCTCCGCATCCAGCTTGGCTAGTCGAGTACCGATGTTTCCTCGCACATCCATGACCTTCAGGTGAGGGTATTTCCGTGCTAGTTGTGCACTCCGGCGGACGGACGAAGTTCCCACGACGGCTCCGGCGGGCAAATCGGCGAGACCCATTTGGGGCAATCCTTGCTTTACCACCAAGACATCTCTGCTGTCCTCACGCTTCATCATAGGGCCCAGGGTACATGACGACGGAATGAGGGTTGGGACATCTAAACGACAACGACAGAAATGAGTTAGTCGCACCACAGCTAAGATACTAGCAGCATAGCACCAAAGACACACCCTTCAAAGAATGCACAATGAAATCCACATGTCCCGCAATCAAAAGCTCCTCCAGCTCCTCAGTCCAAAGGTTCTTGGTCGTGAACTCTCGGAAGGCAATGTTGGTATTCTTGTCGCCCGCTGTTTCGCGCGAATGGATATCGAACGAGCAATCGGGGTTTGCTTCTTTCAGCGCCGCAAGCACCAGGTTGGTCTGGAGGAGGGCCAGCTTCGATTGGCGCGTTCCGATGATAAACGTCCTCTTCGTTGCGGAGGCATCGGAAGAAGTGGGAGGCGGGGCAGACGTCATGGCGATTGATGCGCGGGCAATAGTACCGGGTGATAGGCAACAAAAGACAACTAAAGTGTAACTAGGGACTGTTGCGGACTCTCTAGAAGAATGAAAAATCGGACTTGTGCTCTTGCAGGTACCGAAAGTCCTTGTCGCCGTCGAAGAATCCAAACGTAAAACATTTCCCTCCGACCAACGGGCCGCCGATACGTATGTCATACCAAAGTTACCGTAGTATTGTAAAACATGTATTGTCATGTAACGTAACTTCGAATCACGGGATGTCCAAGGACAGCAATCGCCATATCTCGCCAGCGCCAGCCAGCGTCAGCCAGCGCAAGAGCTGAGTACTTGTAGGACCAACAGCCACCGCAACTTCAAATAATTTGTGAAAACAGACTTTGTCCTTTTCTCATAATCTCTTATTCTTCTGGTGTGTGCCTGCACCATTCAATCCCCTCCACCACTTGTTTAGACGCTAACTCCCACGCGCAGTGGATCGGCGCTCCTCCCAGCCTAACCTCGGCATCGGGTCCTTATCTATCGCTTTCTCCCCCAGAGCCATCGCTTTCATCCACGAGGTTCTGGAACCTTTCGCACCCGCTTTATAACCAACGCTCCCCGTCTCCTCATAATATTCCCGTTTCTGTCGTCATTGCTCCATACACTTCCCCACGTTTTCTCACATCTATCGTTTTTGCCATTCTATTCTACACCAGCTTGATAACCTTCACTCAGAACTACTGCTGAGGTCCGATATCGCACAGCTGGATCTCACGAGGGCAGTCAAAGATGGGATCCTCTAAGAATGACAAGACTGAAGCGGTTAAGCTCGCTATAGTTCCGCTTCCTAAGGGCACTGTCCTGCTTCCTGGGGTCACCGCGCGGCTTCCGGTCCCCAATCGCCCGGACCTCTCCAACCTGCTGTCGTCGCTGCTGGATCAAGCGTCCAAGGGCCAGCGACATGAGAATAGCATCTCTTTCGGATGCGTTCCGCTTGGTTCACCGTATCTGAGCAAGGATTCTCAAAACTTCATTGACGATGAGAACTTGGATGAGGATAAGAAGGAGGAATATGAGGCTGTTGACGCTGGTCAGGCGAGGAAGGAAGATCTCTTTCATTATGGCACCGTTGGCAAGGTGGTTGGGCTTCAGCGTCGTGTGTACGGAGAGCCGTCTCTGCTTATCCAGGGTGTTCAGCGTTTTAGCATTGAGCGGTGGCTGAAAGAGAGGCCATTCTTCGAAGCGGAAGTCATCCTTCACGAAGAAAAAGGTAAGATGTCCCCAGAGTCTTGACATAAGTGATAACTAACTCGGTTCTCTGTTTCATAGACCCTGGAATCAGTGACTCTGACACGGTGGAATCATTCCAACAATTAAAACGACTCTCGCGAGAGCTTCTCACCCTCCTACGGTTTTCGTCGCTAATACCTTCGCAATCTCCACGTCTATCGCCAATTGTCGCGCGTAAATTCGAGTTCCTTATTTCCAAGTCCGATTTGCCACACGCATCCAGACTGGCTGACTTCCTGACGGATGTTTCTGACTCAAGCGTTGAGGAGAAACTCCGGATCTTGGCTTCATTGGATCTGCCCACTAGACTGGGAAGAGTGGTCGAGATTCTCGATAGACAGGTCCAGAATATCAGGAACAATGTCAAGACCACCCATCTTACTTCATCATCGTTGACCCCAAGCCCTGCAATCGACATCAGCCAGATTGACCCGCGTGATCGCGAGCTCTTGGCTAGGCGGGCAATGGCTGGCCTCACCGGTCTATCGCCCCCGGGGCCTCTTAGCAGACGCAACAACAATGATGACGATGACAAAGAATTGAACGAGGTCGATGAGCTCCAGCAGAAACTTGACGAGGCACAGCTTAGCGCCGAAGCCAAAAAGGTTGCGGATAAAGAAATTAAACGTCTACGTAAAATGAACCCTGCTAATGCGGAATACGGCGTTTGTCGGTCCTATCTGGAAAACCTCGCTGAGATTCCGTGGTCAAAGTTCACTGAAGACCGGCTTGGCCCTGACACTTTGACGAAAGCGAGAAAGCAATTAGACGATGACCACTACGGGCTGGAGAAGATCAAGAAGAGGCTGCTTGAATACCTGGCTGTGCTCAGGTTGAAACAGACGACTAATCAGGACGTCGAACAACAAATTTCTACGTTGACCAAAGACCTTGACAGTTCAGACGAGGACATTGAAAAGGATGTCCCGCTCCTGTCTGAGGCTGACAGGGTCTCGATTGAGTCTAAACTGGAGCTTCTGCAATCTAGGCGGATGACAGACAAGTCTCCGATCTTGTTGCTTGTTGGTCCGCCAGGAACTGGCAAGACCAGCTTGGCAAGGTCTGTGGCGGCTTCGCTCAACCGTAAATTTCACCGAATTTCGCTGGGTGGTGTCCGAGACGAGGCTGAGATCCGCGGCCACCGGAGAACATATGTCGCAGCAATGCCTGGCCTGGTAGTCAATGGCCTCAAGAAGGCCGGTGTAAACAACCCAGTATTCTTGTTGGATGAGATTGACAAGGTTGGCGGTGCCAATTTCCAAGGCGACCCATCTGCGGCAATGCTCGAAGTCCTCGACCCTGAGCAAAACCATACATTCAGCGATCATTATATTAGCATTCCGATTGACCTGAGCAAGGTCTTGTTTATTGCAACGGCCAATTCTCTTGATACTATCCCCGCGCCGCTGCTTGACCGTATGGAAACCATCGCGTTGTCCGGATACACCACCGTTGAGAAGAGACACATTGCCAGGCGACACCTTTTGCCCAAGCAAATTCGGGCGAACGGTTTGTCGGATGGACAGGTTGAACTTTCTGATGACGTCCTTGACAAGACTATCACATCCTATACCCGCGAGTCGGGAGTTCGCAACCTTGAGCGTGAACTTGGTGCCATCTGTCGTCACAAGGCCGTTCAGTTTGCGGACGCCGGAGACACTGGCAAGCCAGAGACCTACAACCCAGTTGTCACGGTTGACGACCTGGAGGAGATTCTTGGTGTTGAGCGATTTGAAGAGGAAATAACTGAGAAGCATGGTCGTCCCGGTGTGGTAACTGGTCTTGTCGCGTACTCCACTGGCGGTCAGGGCAGCATCTTGTTCATTGAAGTTGCGGATATGCCAGGCAACGGACGCGTCCAACTGACTGGAAAACTTGGTGATGTGCTCAAGGAGAGCGTAGAAGTGGCTCTCACCTGGGTCAAGGCACACTCATTCGAGCTTGGGTTGACCCACGACCCCAATGAGGATATTATGAAGAGCCGCAGCATCCACGTGCACTGTCCCTCCGGTGCTATCCCCAAGGATGGACCTTCTGCTGGACTCGCGCATACGATTGGCTTGATTTCTCTTTTTGCCGGCAAAGCCGTGCCTCCGCAGCTTGCCATGACCGGTGAGGTTTCTCTACGTGGTAGAGTGATGCCTGTTGGTGGCATTAAGGAGAAGCTCATTGGTGCATTGCGCGCTGGCGTCAAGACTGTCCTCCTTCCCCATCACAACCGGAAGGATGTCAAGGATGTGCCTCAGGAGGTCATCGATGGTATCCAGATCATCTATGTCAAGCATATCTGGGAAGCTATCCGACAGGTGTGGCCTGACTCCCATTGGGGACAGCAGCAAGTGAACTTCGTAGAGAGCCGTCTGTGATTTTTCACTATGGAGTAATAATCTGCTTTTCTTTATTTTTGATACTTTCCTATCTTGGAACTCTTTTCAATCCCTGATTTTGTGTTGATATCCGTCCATTCTTTAATTCTCCGGCGCATGTCGGGTCCCTTCACTGTTGCATAGCGTGACTCACATGCTTTTACGTCGTCTAGCGTCTACTATGTTTGAATATCTGTATATATGATTCCAATGCTATATATACTTGAATCAAACTTCATTCATCTTTATTTACTTATTATTATTATTATTTCACATGATGCTTCCGAAAACGGTGCCTCCATTTCCGGCAGCCCGAATGGTTAGATCATCCGTCTGCCCTAGTTGCGACCTCTGGGCTGACGTTGATACCACCACTTTACCACCAACAGAACGCGAAATGACACCAGCAAATGCAGAGCCAGGAAATGTAATACGTAGGTTTCCCTTTTCATCCCGTTTTCCTCTCTCCCCGCCCGCTGAGCTAATACTCTACTAGGAATATGATGTTCAGACTGATCAACATCCATCGCACAATGTGATTGCCCAAGAAAACCCCTCGGAGCAAAATTCTAGCTCTGGTGACTGCATTCCGATTTACGCATCCAGAAAACAACGTCTGATATTCAGGGTCTTACTTCTGCGGGCTTATTGGGAATATCCAGAGCAGTAGATGGGAGAAACGATCGAGTGTTTTGCATCTAGAAAACCCCCTCTTTCATTATGTCGACTCGATCAGAGCCACCATCGTTGTTGTCGCAGGATGGAGGTAATGTAAAGCAACAACCAAGGCGACAAAATGCAAATAAACCATATGCGAAAAGGAAAAACGAGAAGCAGCAGTTGTTATTCGACTCTGTGGCTGAATCGTTGAATCGTCAGTGGTGCATTGATCACGTCAATCATCCTTCACCATTTCATCCTTCGTCCGAACGACAATGTTATTCCTATTCATCTAGCCCTCCATCACCCCCTCAGCATGAACCTTTCTATAACGCCAACGCTGAGTCGCAAGAAGAACAAGCCCGCCGCAGCCGGAGTGACGGGAGCAGGCCAACAACACTTGTGAATTCGACCGGATCCAACAGTAATCCTCCGTCCAGTCGATCTTCGCCCTCCCATGAATATCATTCCGATTATTCCAACCAGTATGATCTATCCCGCGAACGAACACAGAGACCACAAACGGGCAGCTACTTGGATGTCACCGCGCCAGACGCATTTCACGATGACGATATACGAAAACTTATAACCCGACTCGCTGCACAATACGGCCATGTCTCGCACATGGGCGTGCTGGACCCAAGTTATCGATTCTTCGTCAACGGCGCCCGGACAGGTGCGTTATCGTATAAGCTCCAGAATCGGGTTACTATAGTCACTGGGGATCCGTTATGCGATCCAGGCATTTTTGGAGACATCCTACATGAATTCAAGATGTATCGGAAACAACGGCGCTGGGGGATAGTAATAATGGGCGCGAGCGAAGTAATGATGAAATATGCCCGACAGCGCGAGTGGACGGCGATGCAGTTCGGTGTTGAGCGGGCCCTGAATCCCATGGATAACGATGTCCTCATGGAACGGCATGGGAAGAGGATCATAACGCAGAACAAGCATCTCCTAGACACAAAGAAAGGAGGCATCTCATTGGGCGTATACATACCGTCTGTTAGAACTAACCCAATACTCCAGCACAAGTTAATGGAAGTATATGACTCCTGGCGCCACATGCGCAGCGAAACCGCTCGCGGCAAATCCCAAGCCTTCATAACGGTTTATGACCCCTTCTGCCTCCCCGACCTCATGATTTTCATCTACGCGCGGGACGCCAACGGCACAACAATGGGCTTCGCAGCCCTCCGCCGCATACGCGATTCCCGCGCGTACCACCTCGACCCCTGCGTCGCGGCACCCTGGGCACCCAAAGGAGTCAGCGAACTCCTAACCTACACCTCAATGACGCTGCTCAACCAAATGGACATCTCCACACTAAGCTTCGGATACGAACCCCTCCAGTCACTCGGTGAAATGACGGGCATATCATCCAGGATACAAAAAGTCATTCGATATGTGCATCGCTACACATTTCGACGGTTACCGTTGGCGGGGAAGAAGGCGTATCATGATAAGTTCCGGCCGGATGAGAGGCAGGATGCGGGAGTGGGGTTGGTTTTTCCGGGGGGTGTGCCTGGGTTGAGGCAGGTGTTTGCTGTGGCTCATGTGGCACATATTAGTATTAGAAAGTTGGCGTGGCCGGAAGGGAGGACTAAGGATAAGCCGCGTCGAGTTTGAGAGACTGAGCCAGGTTGATACATCATTATGATGTTGATTATTATTCACATATCTCCAGTCATACTCGTTTTATACAGGTAATTCTTTGGATACATTCAGGACACAACGCTCGGCCAAACATGTGGTAGGTAAGGGAGCACTAACAGTAAAGGGAAACACCCGCAAAGCCAGTAGCAATGTCATTATGTGGGGTAAAAATAATGAACAGTTGCATGCCTTTTAAACAGTGAGCTAGGTATCCTCGGCTGCACCATAAAATGCAGGAGGGTTAGCCTCGGTAGAAATGTAGTACAAATATTGTAATTTGTAACAGTGGTCGACAGCGCATTTGCAGGCTCTCTGGAGCCAGCCCTTCGACCACAATTGCAAGGTCAACAGAAGGATCTATGCAGATGTTTGCGCCCGTACGACAGCAGACGCTCAATTTCTTGGCTTTCGACATTGGTTCGCCAAATTGGGTTCTCTATGAAGGCGCGCGATGCTTTGGCAAGGTGCGGGTGGTGAGATGGCTGGCGGAGGTTCATTAGAACACGGACCTCTTCATTCTGGCGAAATATGGCTAGATATGCGGTTCGTAGAGCGGGAGAAGTGGGACATAATGACCTTTCAGCAATAATCAGAGGAAGTAAAACCTTATACAAATAGTATAGAACTACATTTTGAGGGCTTACCTCGATGATAGGTTCGGAAGAAGGGAATGAGGTGAATGTTGAAAGGAATGATCACGAGGGTCAAACATGTTATGGCAGCAGCTAGCTGGTTTTCAAAATACAGAAAAAGATCACCTGTAACTGTTGGACTGAAGTCTATACGACATTGCTCTCTGTTGGTGATTTTCTAGAGAAATGCGCTTTTCTCTGAAAAGAACACCGAAAAGCACCGATAATGTTGCCTCAGTGGAGTTTTACGCGATTTTATTGGTTTATATTCAACAATCGACCCACTTATGCCCTATCTGGGATCATTGGCCATTGATCATTTATATTGCCTGTTTCTCATTGAAGGAGCCCACTAATAAAGTGCAACTTCCTGAAAAGCACACACCAGACTATTTCATCCCTCCTCCTGGTGAAAAACATCAACAACGAGGACGACGACCACGTACTCGCTGCTATACCGCCGACAGCATTTTCAGCAATCAAGCGTTGGATAACTAGATTAAACTGTGAGAATGACTGCTTCCACCAACACCCCGTAGGTATATACAGACAGAATTTTATAATCTGCTGACTTGAAACATTTTATAATGTGCTGCTCCCGGGCCAATTGACTTCCTTAGATGGATCAATGAGAGCGGGACTAACGCAACCCACCTCACTAAGCCTGACAATCAATGTGATTACGGAATTAGGAAATAATACAGGAGAGCATATGAAGCCTATTGTGTTCTTGACATGAAGTAAATGAGCTGCATATAGACTTCAGTCCCCTCTACATTTCTTCAAATTGTGATGTCGCCGCTCACTGTCCGGGACATTCGTGGTAACCACCCGGTCAATCTTCTTCAGAAAACTCATCAAAAACAAGGTTGCGACCTGATGACCACCGTATATCTTCGAGCTTAGCCATACGAATCGAGATCCTCTAGTAACATACATCTCTTTAAGAGTGTATCCTACCATTACTGTCAGCTCTAGGTTCTCCTAATATAATGGAAGACCCCTAGCCTTACCACTTTGGCCACCAGACACAGTCCAGTGTATACGACAAGTCACTCCCGGTTCTGAATCCTCCCAGATGCAAACACCGTCATTGGTATTGGTTATCTCGACTCGTCGTACAACACGAAAGACAGATCTAAGTCTGAGAACGAATCTTGTTCTATTTGCAGTTGACTTGGCAGACCTTATTTCAAACTCAGGCCATGAAATTCGTACAAGGAGATGGTGGTTGTGAAGAATGTTGAGAATCGCTTGTTCATCTTTGTTGATGCTTGGGGGGAGTGGTAGATCTTTGCTTACCCTCTTGAAAAAGGGATTACGAGCTAGACCACTATTAACCACTTGATATAAAACCAGGCCATGCTGAGGACTTACTAAAGAATGTTAGATTCATGCTGTTCTGTGCTGTTAGAGGATGAAAATGGGCTTGTTGCTGACGTCGTATTTAAGTCTACAATGCCCTCATACATCCGTAATTCCGCCGGTGGTAAACAAGCAATCAGGTCAGCATGAGATAAGGATACACTCTCTTTCAATCGTCCTTTTGTGCATTTCCAATGGCTTCTGTTACGACGCGCTCCGTGATTGCGCTGTTCTCAAGCGCTCGACCTGTTTGCCGCAATCAAAGCATGACGCTCCAGGTATGGACTCCGATCTAAGCACGGCGTATGGGTAAGCACCCTCATTCAATTACCTTCGGAGGAATTTGGCTCATCCTAGCTCCCTGTTCAAAGAATCAGCAATGCGCCTTTTCAATGGCACCGCCGTGAACCTTGCGAAGGTCAACGCAAGCCCGGAGTATCAACAGCTAATGCTCCGACTACCCAACACCCCACTGCATCAGCGCCCACTCATACCAGGGAACGGAAGATGTGCTGGCTCAACAAGAAGCCAGGCCGATCGGCAACTCCGGAAGTTGGAATCCTGGGACGCTTCGTCGACCAGCTCAGCCTCGCTTCGCGTCCTCCCCTCCTCTCCCTCTACCAAAACAGTTCAATCGACACGAGCAACCCCGTCGTCGTCGCAACACCCCCTTCCCAGAGCTCTCAGACCCGGGACCTAGAATATGCCATAGATTATGTCAGTCTGCAGTCCTGGCTCTCGCCAGAATCCTCATCTTTCCGTATCCTAAGCGAGTCAAGCGCCGCATTCAGGGCTCGCAGGTACGGCCTCTGCCAGAACTACAAGCATCACTATGATTGCGAGAATGAGGACTATGACCTGACGCATGAGAGGGTATTTTGTCAGTTTGACGCGCCGTGCCTTATTTTTGAGCTTGTCTGAATATCAGGCTGCTTTTAGCTGAGGTTCGCGATTTGGTGACGGGGCATACCTGGTTGATGAGATGGGTTGGATAAGCTTAGTGGGGATCCGTCTGCGGGGGCGTTTTAGGAGTATGTACGAGGAAGAGAGACGGCGAGAAAGGGAGGCAAGTCATCTCGCATAATAAATAGACTTTAAACCTCTGTATTCAAGTAATTGGAAACCATGAGAAACGTGCCCGAGGGGCATGTATTTAGAAGTGATAATATAATACAAACCTCACAGTTCAAAGACTATGAAAACACCCAAAAATACAGACAGAGAAACAGGAACGCTTTTCTATCCCACAAACCAAGAAAACGATAAAAGAAACCATCCATACTAACCCACATCAGCTCATAAAACCCCCAACTCAACTTGTTGGAGCATTGTTCCCTCTACCAAGTGCTGACCGGTCATAGCTAAGACCCAGCGCCTGCCAAGTCGGTCTCCAGGCCTTCTTTCCTTCCAGCAGCTGCTTAGCCTCTTCCTCAAACGCCTCACGCTCAGGCTTGTTGGGCTCCATGCCGGCATCGGGACGGTTCGCTTTCTGGATATCCTCTTGGTACTTGGCCGCTTTGAAGAACTGGTCCTTCTCCCATCTGTTCCATCCGTTAGCTCACCAAACCCCTCAGTCTTAACCACCAAAGAAAGGAAATAAACATACGCAGACATATCCGTCGGCGCATCAGGCCACACAAACGGCTGTTTCATCTCAACCGTCATCCTCTTCTTCGACTCCGGTCTCCTCAACTTCCCATAACCCCATCTACCCATCGGCCGCAGGCGGGTGATCTTCTGCTGCTCAATATAACTGCGGACGCCGAGAACGTCGACTCCATACAGGCGCTGCAGGTAGTCGCGCATGTCGAGTTTGTTGAAGTTCAGAGGGACGTGGAACGAGGCGAAGCGGGGTGGGAGGAAGGGGGTGCGGAGGAGGGCGATTGTGAATTCGGGGCTGTAGCATATTAGCATTCCGTTCACGTCCAAGTTATAGAACGGTGAATCTGGATTGGTGACCTGGGGACGTACAGGAATACTTGCTTCCGCTGCTCCAGCGGCGCTGAGGGCGGTACCCAGCCCGCGGGCTTCTTGGGGAATTTGGAAAAGGCGCGCACCATGGTGACTTATCCTGGAGAGACACGGCCTGTGTGAAAGAAATAGAGACCGAATTGGTTGAATTGACAATCGCGGGGAAACGAGTCTCGTCCGGAGATTTAATCAGACTCGGCGAAACTTTTTGGAGCGGAAAATGCGCAGTTGGCCGCGTCACGTGCCGTAGTGGACTATAGCAGTCGTTCTACGTTGGATGCTGGATCAAATTATTTCGTTGAGACTGAATGGATAAATACCATGCAAAAGACTCGTTAAGGTGCAATTCAGAAATATTTATTTATGGTCATCATTAACAGGTTCTAAACAGACCGCGAAAAGAATTCAATCTATCCAGTACACAAGAAAATGCATTGCTCATGATAGTCATTACTCTCAGATTCTTTATTAATGAAATTCCCCTAGCTTATGACACGCGTAGTTCTCCTAGTTTCTGGGAACTATCGTCGACCTCGTCTGTCGGTTTCCCGGACGTTTGCTCTTCATCTTCCTCAGACCCTGATTCTTCCTCCTCTTCCTCGTCGTCGTCCTCAGAATCCTCATTCCGGGACTCTTCATTGTCCTCGTTGGCCCCAACTTCCTTCATGTATGCCTCCAACTCCTTCGCCATTTTTCTAGAGAATCCAGACGCCTCAACTTGAATATCCAGTCGTTCGGATGCATTCTTAATAAGCTGCTTCTTGGCGTCTTTGAAGAAAGGACCAGGCACGTCGCTCACAAATTTGAACTTTCGCTGGAAAAACCGCTTGATGCAGTTAACATCGCGATCAAAGTACATCTCGGCGTTAGGATGGTCAACCGAAACCATCTGCGGAAAATCAATGAGAATCGGCTCCAGCCGGATGATCTCAGGGCTTTCGCCCTCGGGTGTTTTGCCCTTAGCATCAGGATCCTCGATTTCCTTAATCAAAAGGTTGAACTCGTTAAAGTCACCGTGGATAAGACCGAACCGCACAAGTCTCACAATCATATCCATAAGCTCTGAGTATAGCACGTCCGGCTGGGGAACCTCGGATATTTGACGGAGAGGGAAAGCGTCTATCAAACTCATCACGATCGTGTGTCGGTTCTGCGAAATGGGTTCCGGCACCGGGAATCCGCTTTGTCGAAGAGCTTTCATAAATGCGTATTCCTTCATTGCTGCCAGACGCGACATGTACATCCATGATCCGGAGCTTCGGTGTCGCAAGTAGTCGCGGTTGTTCTTGATTGATCGGAACGAGATACGGCCCAAGCGGTGGATCTTCAGGATGCTCTGCTTGCCAGTCTTGTCTGCGACGACGACGATATCTGATTCCTTTCCGACCCCGATCTGGTTGCCGACAGAGTAGATGCACTTGTGTTTCTGGTGCGCATTGAGAGCGAGGTAATCGTATCCTCCGTAGGTCAATCGGTAGCCGTCATCTATTCCAACAAAAAGCGTTAGAATGCGCATGTTCCTAAAGGAGGTTTGTCCTATTCTTCGCGCCAAACAAAGCGGGAGACATACACTTTGCATTCTTGACTTTCGCGATCAAGTTCGTCTTTGCCAAAGCAGAAATCGACCGAGTAACTCCACTCCCACGGAGACCAGAAATCTGCGCAATCAACGGCGTCGGCACAACTTCATGGTTTTTGCTTCCGATTTCCGCCTATTCATTATCTCTATGTTAGCTGTCAGACGACAGGCTGCGATTGCATGACAAGCGGGGATGGAGTATCGCCATACTGCAGCGAGAACTCGGAAATCTTCTGAGTTGAGGTACCGGATCGCTTTAGCATCGAGCTTCATGGTTGTTGTGGAATCAGCGTTTCCAACCCAGAAGGATTAAATAGAATATGAACAGGTTTGAGCTGTCTGGGCGCTACTTTTTTGGGTTGGCAGTACAGTAAGGACCGTTGAAGATAATGCGGAAAACTTATCGCCCGCTTGCCCTATGCCCTAGTTTCTGTTTTTGGTAATATACGGTCCTGATACAAGACATGCAGACCAGCTCTATCGATCTACGAATCACTAGTAGATATGAATCATACAGTATCCCGAGGAGCTTTATGTGGATTTTACAGAGTATATCTTTAGAAATTCTCTGCTCATATCTGCCACCCAGGCAGATTATCGTACATCAAGCATCATGATTGCTTAATTCTACTACTACATCATCTTTCCTCTCAGTAGCAATTTCCCAACATTGCTAATATTGTAATCATGCCTCCAGAAATAACGTCACTGGGTGCCTTCTCTCGGCTGCTATGAACCACGAACCACGACTTACATTATGGGGGTATATCATCTATTTGGAGTCGCATCGCCCATTGACAAAGCAACAGCTCAACATTCTTCGAGCCAATCGAGCTCTACATAATGCAATCACCTCAAAACTCAGATACGACACTATCGAAGTCTACATCATTCCCGATTTCCATGAGGTGGGTATTCATTTACCCCCGGAGGTTAAAACCACCGCAATCGCCGGTTTCTTATAAAGAGCACGAATCCGCAAAGGCAGCTGCTTTTGACATACAGAAAGGCAAAGAAACTGGTTTCTGGTCTAAGCCAGGTTTCTCGTTCTGGCCCTTTCAAGCATGTTAGCATTTGCTACCATCAGTACAACGGCATCGACTGAAATTTGAACGGAGATCCATATGAAGCTCTCAAATACCCGGGTCGACGTTGACTGGCCCGCGAAATCGTCTTTACCTCATTTGCCAAGCTCGAAATGGTGGTGCACCTCGAAAATGAGAGCGATAGTACGATATCTAGTGTTGTCCTCATAAATCGAGCATTTCCTTCATGTTGACCGTTTCCCATGAAGTCACGGGCTTAGTTAATGAATCCGCAACTCACAGCTCTGTTTATCCTCTGGTTAGCCGGACTTACCTCGGTGGTAGTAAACGCTTGGCGACTGGTATTGGACTCTTCCTCGATACACGGCCATCCATGGGGACTAGGCTGGAAGACTATTCGAAAGCATACCAGAAATGGCCACAGAGCCGCAAAGTCTTCTTTCACAAAGAGTGGCAGCACTTAGAAACGCACTGCGCTGTGCAGGTGGTGCAGAAAAACAGGTACCACGAGGGACTGCGTTGAGATATTCCACAGGTCGGAAAATGATTTTGGTGAAAGTCGCGCAATTAGCCATTGAGATATATACCAAGCGAAAGAAGTCTGCCATGCGACTACAGGAAGCAAGTCTCTGCGAGTCAACTCTGAGCCTTGGCATGAGCTCATCGGTTCTGACCTGACTGACATATCAGCAGATCTCGTGGACCAATAATCCATTTTCAAAGGGCATAGCCCCGGCTCGTCACCTTCTACGGTGTCAGCCATACCCACAAATGGTAGGGCAAGAAGCACATGACAGACACCCGTCACAAGGCC